GGGGCCGGCAGCCTCGCTCCGAACAACCACACCGTCGCGGCCGTGGTGCGGACATGCTGCGATGACACCGAGCGCCGGTGTCCGGGAACGGGGATCGGTGCCGCTGGGCGAAGCGGCCGCACGCGTGTGTGCGGAGCCCCGTGTCTGCCAGGTGCCCGTCAGACGGAAAACAGCGCTCTGGCCGCCGGAGGAATGCCCCCCGCCCTCTCGGGCCCGTTTCTGGGGCTGCTGGCGGAGGGTCCAGGGGGAGACGGCCCCACCGGCCCATCGGACAGCCGTCACGGTCACGGCGCGACGGGGCGGCCCCAAGGGCAGGGCTCAGCCTGACCCCCTCGGAACCGAGCTGCGCGGGCTCGAGCGGCGCTACCCGCGGGGCAGCACGGGCTTCCTGGCACTTTCCGCAGTAGCTCCGCGCCGGAGAGCAGCACGCGAAGGCCCCGGACAAAAGCCCCGGCGCTAAGACCCCTCCTGGCAAAGGCGCAGCCCGCCCCGAGCGCTCCGGACTTTTCTCTCTCCGCGCCGAGCTGTGCGGTGGCAGCGGGGCCGCGGGCGGCTCCGGGGCGGCGGGGGGGAGCGCGGGGAAGGGAGTGGGCAGCGGCCCCGGGAAAAGAGAGGGGAGCGGGGATTTAAAGGGACTCCCGCGCATGGGAGCGGCACCGACCTGAGTCCGTCCGCCCGCTGCGATCGGAGGAGCTCCCGGCGCGAAGAGGCGCCGTCAGAGGCGATTTATCTCCCGCCGGAGCGCGGGCTCCGCTTCCCGCATCGCCTGTGAGTAACAATGGCAGCTCTCAGCGGCTTTTCACGCTCTCCAGCGGACGAGCGGATCGCGGAATGTGCCCGCGCCCCGCTCTCACGGCCGCTCCGCCGCATCCCTCTCGGCCGCCGCCGCGCCTTGTGCCGCTCCGCCGGGAGCCGCTCCCCGCGCCCCCCGCCCTCCCCCGCCCGCCCTTCCCTTCGCTTTTCCATTCTCAGGACTTTGGCGCGCGGCCAGCAATGTCAGGAGGGGATGAAACTCGACACAGAGATCTCAACCCGGAGCGATTTCCTCCTCCCCCCTCCCCCGCCCCCGTCCCCCCCCCGAGCCCCGAAGTTAACTTTCAGCTACTTTGGCCGCTTTTCAGTTCGGAGAGAGGGGGAAACTGCAGGTCACCGCCGCCTGTTCGGCCCGGGCATGTGTTTCTTCCTTTCTTTCTTTTAAATTAAAAAAAAAAAAAAATAACAAAAAAAAACCTGCACACCGGGGCCTGAAATTCATCTGCGACCCGGGCGTGCCGCCGTTAACCCGTGTGTGCCCCGACCCACCGCTCCGGGACCCCGCACCCGCCCGCCCCGCAGTACCGGGGGAGCAGCGCTGGCAGCGGAGCCACGCTCACCCCGGGAGGATGCCTCAGCACTTTCTGTGTTCCGCGCTTCCAGCAGAAGGGAAGCTAATTCCTCCGCTGAGGGCCTCAATCAGGCATTTATTTGACACTCATGATGCATGAACGGCTAAACGCTCGTCTGAGCGGGGGATCAGCCGCTGCTTTATAGCCCGCGAGTTTTTTGATGCAGGTGAATTATGCTGATCCCTGAATGCCTCCTATTCCTGGGGGGAGGAGAGAGGGCGGGGGAGAGCAGAGTGGCGGCGGGGGGGGGGAGAGGGGGGGGAAGAGGTATGAAAACACAGAGGGGGACGCGCGGGGCGGCTGCGCTCCTTCATCTCAGCTCCGCACGCCCGGGAAACTCTGGGATCGGGGCTGTGGCCCGCAGCCCTCCCGCCCCGTCCCCCCCGGTACCAGGCCCGGTCCGCATCCCGCACCCCTCCGGGCCGCCCCGTCCGCGCCTCCCCGAAGGCACAATATGGAGAGGGGAAAGACACGGCGACAACATGGAGGGGGGGAGCCGAGGAGGAGGAGGAGGAGGGGAGAAACCATATGGAGCGGCGGGGAGGGAGGCGAGCAAGCCGGAGGAGCCGGAGGAGGCAGCGCGGGGCAGGGCGGCCGAGGCCCGGGGGCACGGAGCGCGGAGGCGGCCACGCGGTGGGGGATGGGGGGGTCGGTACGGCCGGTGCTGGGGGTGAGGCGGGAGTCCGCTCCGAGTCCGTGCCCGCGCTGCGCGGCCCCGCGCTCTGTGCCCATCTCTCCCGATCCCCTCCGGGGAGGTTTCTTCTTTTTTTACAGCTTCTCCTCCTGGCCTCTTTCCAACTGTTGTTCCAGGACCGAAAAAAATAACAATTAAGTAGGAGGCATGTCTTGTGACTCGCACAATCTCTCCTAACGCCCGAGTTCAATTTTACACAACATTTAATACAAATATTAAAAATCAATATATCAAGGGGGCTGTTAATGAAATGTTACAGGGAGTGTGTGCCGCCAGATAGGATTCGGTGGGAACGCGTGTGATGCAGCGAGAGCGGGATGCGGGCGTCTGCTTAATCCCCCCGCTAAAAAACAAAAGATAAAGGTGTTCATTAAATCATATCGAATCGAATTAAACTCTATCGCCGGGGCCTTCCAGCAGAACAGGAGCCTGAAAAGCAGGGGATGGAGAATGAATCTCAATGCGGCTCCCGACAACGGAACGAGAATCGGAACGCATTAAAAATAAATCAGAGCGCCGCTGTAGGTCACAACGCGAAGATAGGACGGTGCGGGAATCTCCGGACGGGCAGAGAGCCGGGGGCTGCCCGCAGGTACATCCCAGCACAGGGAGGGAAAGAAAGGCGGACTGCCTGAGCCGTGGGTGACTCGGAGGCTGCAGCACTCCTTACTTCTCTGGCAAGGGCCGATGATCCGCCGGCCCTTCCCCGGCTCCCGGGGCTGCAGTGTGCCCCTCGGCGCGCTGCCAAGCGACGTCCTGCTGGCTGCCGGCTGCGCCCGCCTTCCCCCGCTCTTTGCCCCTCTCCTCCTCCGCCCGGGCCGCTCCCTGCTCTCCCCGGCTTGGCCGCGATGCTGTCCTCCAGCCCAGCCCCTCGCACTGCTCTGCGATGCCCCCGATCCCTCTCAGCAGCCCTTCGCAGCAACCCTTCAAAATCGCAGAGCTCGAGGATGAGAGGACGTTGCCAGCCCCGACGGCACATCCGCACTCACCACGGTCTCGGAGCACGGCTGCGAGACCCAGACAGGAGGCTGCGGGGTTGCTGCGCTCTCTGCCGAGGCGCGGAAGGGAGACGAGGGCCCCAAAGGGAGGCTGGGCCTCGGCCCGAAGCTCCACTCACTCCCAGCGTCCCGCAACCCGAGCCCAGACCACGTTCTGCTCCGTTAAGAGCCGAGGGCAGCGCCTGCAGTGCCCGCCATAGGGCTCTGACCGCCAGGCCTGCCCCCGCCGCGGGGCCGCTCAGCCCGGGCTCTCCTCCAGCTCCGGCTCAGCTCCCCGAGCTGCTCGGGGCCGCCGCTTGGACTTCGTTCTCGGCTCTCCCGCTCCGGCCCCCGGGACCCGCTCGCTTCGCCCCCTCCCCCGAGGCAGTGCCGGGCCCGTCCTCCTGTCCCCGCAGCCCCTGAACGGCGCAGCGCGGGCCGAGCCGGGAGCGTGTCTGCAGAGGGAGGCAGAGCCGAGGCAGAGCCGCGGCAGCGCTGCTTTCCCCCGGCTCCCAGCGGCCCCCCCCGTATGCTCTCTGCTGTCAGACGGTTTCCCGGCGCTTCGCGATCGTGCTGCTCCGTTCCCTCCCCCCATCCCTCGCCCTTCTCTCTCCGCCCCCCGGGGCCGGGCCGTGCGGCACGGCAGCGGTTACGCGTGCAGCGGCTCCGGAGCGCGATAAACAGCCCCGGCCCCGCGCTGGCCCCGGGCCCGCCGCCCGCTGCGGGGAACAGCCGCTCTGCCCTGGGAGCTGCGCACTGCGGAGCCGGGCCAGGGGCTGGGGGGGGGGGCGGCGTCGGCGGCGGCGGCGGCTCCGTGAGGCCGTGCCGCGGGGCTGCGCTGCCGGGAGCGCGGCTCCTGCTCCGACCTGAACCCGCCGCTCTTCTGTTTGTTTATTTCCCGGCCGCGGTGGCCGGCTGCCAAGCACGCGGACCTTTCCTATTAAAAACCCATTTCTCTTGCCCTGCGCGGAGCGGTTCTTCACTCGCTGCGCTCCGTTGTGCCGTTAACGCAGCGCTGCGCAGCGCAACCGGGGCCGAGGAGGGGGGGGGGCGGGAGGGTGGTACCGCAGCCCGGGGAGGCGATGCCCGGCCCAGAGGCCCCTCGCCTTTATCGGACGCCTATCCCGCAGCACGGAGTCGGCGCTGCCTCTCTGGCCGGGGCTCCTTGCGGGGTGGCTCCCGGCCCTTCTCCTCCCCGGGGTGTCTACCCGTCGGTCGGGGCGAGAGGATCCAACAATAAAGTAGATTGAAATAAGTCTGCGGTTGGTGAGTTTCCAGCGATACTTAATGGCACTCGCAGTAAACAGTCCCTCTCTGTGCTAGCGGGGAAAATCATCCAGACACAAGCGCATTCCACCCCCTTTAGGGCTCCCTGGCTGTTATTATAGTTATTGCATTACTCTGGTGTAAGCCTTTTGTAACTAAGCTTCTATAAAGCCCCGCTTACAAGCGCCCTGATTAGAATTTTCCTTGCCAGCAACCAAAGGCCACCCGCTTTCCAGTGCTATACAGAGGGAGCCGTCAGCAGCCACCCCTCTGAATGTGCGCTTTGTTCCTGCCAACAAGGAAACGAGTGGGCTTCCACTGGGGAGAATGCGGCCCTTCTGTCGCAAGGAGCTGGGGGGCACCGGGCCCGGCGGCGGCGGACGGGTCACGGGACCGCGGGGTGCGGGCCGCCCCTGATCCGGGAGGGGAAGGGAAGGAAAGGGGGGGACGCGGGGCGATGCTCTCCCAGCACCCGGCCGCAGGGCGAGAGCACAGGGGGACAGGGCGAGCGGCGAACCGCAGGCACGGAGCGGTCACCTCGCCGCGTCCAACGCCGGCTCCAGTACCATAGAGCAGGGACGGAATGCCAGGCTTTCGCTTTCACGCAGGACGCAGGATGTGTGTAACACGGAGCATTTCTCAGCTCGTCTGATTTTTAACTTCCTCTAAAACTCTGTGTTGTTTTTTTTTGTTTGTTTTTTTGTTTTTTTTGGGGTTTTTTTTCCCCCTCTCCCTCTGTTCGGAGAGCGGCAACGAGAGGCCGAGAGGAAGCACGCTGCCGCCGTGCGAAATGCGGACCATGTGTGGGAGCGATGTGCCCGGCGGCACCCGGTGGCGAGCTGGTGACAAGGCAGGGCCGGGCCGGGCTTCCCTGCTGAGAGCCGCCGTCCTAGGGCGGTCCAGCACCGCCGGTGCCATACCGACTTATGGCCGTGCGGCGTTCCCGTGTTGATCGGGATTCTTTCGGTCTGAGGCTTTCACGATGTGCTTTGTGTTCGCCCACCTCGAGGCTCTGCGGGCAAAGGGTTAAATCGTCGGAGGGCTCGAAGGAAGCAGCCGAGTTTCAGCGAAGAAAAAAAAAAAAAAAAAAGGAAAATAAAGAAAGGTGGAGGGAGAAGAAAGGAGTGGGAGCGGGGAGAGGCGAGGGCCGCACGATGCCCTGATCATCCTTCTGGCTGCTGGAGAATAATAATTAATCCCAATCGTAACCCGCGGCCTTTCTCTCCTATTGGGCTTTGCCAGGAAGCGCCTCCGGCCCTGGGGCTCCCCGTTCCCTCACCGCCTCCCCCCTCCCCGTCCCTTCCCTTGGCAGTGAGAGGAGAAAGGGCCGCCCTGCCCACCGCCGCCCGTGCTCCTCCGGTCGCGGCGCACAGCTGTGGCAGCGCGGTGCCTCCTCCAGCTCTCTCCCGGCTCCGGCTCGGTACCCTCCTCCTCCTCCCCCTTTGTTCTCCCCCCTCCGCCTTTCCTTCTCTTTAAATAGATTTCTAGGCGCTGCCTGGTGGAGAGCGGCTCTCCGGAGAGCGCAGCTATCGCTTCCCCGCCGCTAACCTCTCTTCCTCCCTTCTCCGAGCACAACGCGATCCCGAGGCCGAGCAACCTGCGCTGGGAAAGATAGAGAAAAGCACAACTGGGGCCCCCCGGCTCGTGCACAACCGCGTGTAGAGGGAGGGCTCGGGTTGACCCTCCCTAATGAAGAGGGCCGAGGGCAGCGGGGAACCCTTCCCAGGCTGTACCCCCCCCCGCACTGCCCCGCACCCGGGGCGGAGGGAGGCCGAAGACAGAATGGGGCGCGAGGAGGCGAAGTGCCGCCCGGAGAGCTGTTGTGACAGATGCTTGGCTTCGATGGTGAGAGAAGGAGTTAAAAGTGAGCGAGCTGCTTGTCGATGGAGCCGCTTCCCCGAGCGGCTGGCTGGAAAGCCGTCCATCAGCAACCAGTCCGACCTGCCCGTGATAATATGCGATCAACACCAAATCACCCCCGCCAGGCACGATCCATCATCGCCGCGATGCGATGGGCCCTTTTATGGCTGTGTCTACGCGGGGGGCGGGCGGGGGGAAGGGGGAGGGAGCGGAGAAGAGGGAGCGGGAACGCGTGAGTGGGGAGGGGGGCATCCGCCGCAATAGGAACCGCAGCCCCCCCGGCTCCTGGAGCGGCGGAGCCGAAAGTTGCCGGGCCGGGGCTGCGCCTGGCAGCGGGCCCCGCCGCCTCCGCCTGCCATCAGCCTCCCCTCCCCCTGCCGGCTCCTCCGGGGCGAGCTTGACTGGCGTTAAATTAATAATTAATCGGGTGAAATTGATTAAAGGGCTCTGCGCGCGATGGGGCGCGGGGAGAGCCCTTCCCCTCCTCTCCGGCAGCGGGGAGCTGCCGGCCCTCGGAGCTCCAGGGGCGCCCGGCCCGAGCAGGAAGGAAAAGGGCGGCGGGGAGTGGGGCGGGGGAGGAAGGCGGTGGCGGCGGCGGCGGCTGCAGCAGAAGCAGCAGCAGCTTCGCTGGTGGCTGCCTGCAAGCGAGAGCGGCGGCAGCAGCAGGCGAAGGCTGGCCCCAGGCTGGCTCGGCTCCGCGCATCTGGGAGTGCGTGTGCGTGTACAAAGCCGGAGCCCGGGAGCTGCTCGAGGGCGGTGCTCGGCACCACAACACCAACCTCCCCCACCCTTCTCTGCCCCCCCCCCCTCCCTTCCTCCGGCCGAGATCACTCTCTGCCACGGAAGGAATGGGGAACCGCAGGGGACGCGGCCGGGCCGGCGCACGCCTCAGCTGCAGCCCCGCCGAGGTGGGAAAGGGTTAAACGTTGGCGGGGGCCGGGGGATGGGAAGCGAAGGGAGGGGGATGCCGAGCGCAGGGAAACCACAGCGCACCTGGGCTCGGCTCGGGAGCCGGAACGAGCCGCCGTCTCCTCCTCCTCCTCCTGCTCCCTCCCTCCCTCCCAACCGCGCGGTGCCCGCCCGGACCGGATCGCGGCTCTATCACCGCAGCAGCGGAGCGCAGATCTACCGGTCCTATCGGCCGCTCCTTCTAACCCCAGTGACCCAGATAACGCTGCAGCCTCGCCCCCATTCCCGCCCCGCAACGCGCTGGGGCCCCGAGCCGCCTCCTCCTCCCCCCCCCGCTTCCTCCCCGGGAGCTGCGCGGCCGCCCCGGCGCTGCCCTCCGTCCGCAGCCCCTCCCGGCCCCTGCGGTGGGGCACCCTCGCCGGGCCTCGTTCCCTCGGGTCGGGGCGGTGCTGCCATCCCCCAGGGCCGACCCGGGGTCATTGTTTGCCTGCGCGGAGCCAGCCCGCCGTCAAAATACCAATTAAAACCCAAACAAACACCCCGAGCCGGTCTTTCCTGGACACGCAGGTCGGAGCCACAGCAGCCCCAGCGTTGTTATTCCTGGGCTGGAAATAGCCCTGGCTCCGCCCTGACAATCGCCTGTCAGAGGCCTCTCCTCTCCCCTCCCGGAGGCCCTGCCCTGCCCCTCTGTATTTACTTTGGAAGTGTGTGCGCGGACGGGAGCGGCGCGGTGCCTCCTGCCCGGTTCCCCCTGCACACGGGCTGTGGCGGATCCCGTCCCCGCTCCGCGTGACCCGAGATAACCCGGCCGGGGGGGGCACAGGGCCGGCGCCGACGGGGGAGGGCACGGAGAGCCCCTCGCTGCGGTGCGCGGAGAGGTACGGGGGACAGGAGCCCCTCGGTTTAGGGGCGGCCCGTGCTCCACATCGCCCTGCCGGGAGATGGGGGGGGGTCGGCGGGGAGATGGCAACGGGGCTTATACCGCCACGAGGGCCGAGCAGCGAAGTTATCACCAGCCGTGACCAAAATAAATGCCTGTGATAAAAAAGCCCTGACAGCATGATCCATTATGCGGGTGTCACCGCGTACAACGAGGTTCAATCAGATACGTCGGTTGCCGTGGACAACGGGGGAAGCGGCGGTACCGGGCTGACTGCTTTGCCGGAGAGGCGGCCGCGCTGCCCTAATGGGGGTCACACGGTGCCATCTGCACAGGGGTGGCCCGGCGCCGCTGCGAAGGCACTGAGCGCGGCCCCGCGGGCTGCCCCGGCCCCTACGACGGCACGGGCCAGGCCCCCTGGGGCGACCGCGAAGCCTCCCGTCTGGGCTGCTCGGCACGGCTCCGCTCGGCTCCCCGTGTCCCTCAGCAGCCCGGGGCGCGCCGCGGTAATCACGGAGCGTTTGTTCCGTGCGGCGCAACCACCGCCTCCCGAGCGCTGCCCTGTTATTAGCGGTGAGAGGCGAAGGGGGAGGGCTGCGCTCTCGCTGCAGGCTCCGCGCTGCTGCACGTCCTCGCCTCCGGCGGAGCCGAGTGCAGGTGCCGAGCGGGGGCCGCAGGGGCCTCGGGGTTAACGAGGGCTTAGGGCAGCGGGCTCGCGCACCACATTCCTACAGAACGCCTCCCCCGAAGAGGGGGCCCGAGGCCAGACGGTACCTTTCGGCCCCGGCCTCTCTCCGCCGCCCCCGGGGTTGAGGACGCGACCTCAAGGCATAAGGCACGGCCCGCGGCGGGGTGCCCCCCCTCCCCGCAGCCCTGGCTCGTAGTGCCCAACATCCCGGTGCGGGCGCTGCGTGGCTGCGCTACGGTCCCGAGCAGCAGCACGATGCTGCGCCGCCCCCCCTCCCCTCCGTCACGATTTAATGCTTTCCATGTTCGTCGGCAACTGCGCTTCCGCAGAGGAACCCCGGCGCGCTCTCGGCCCGGCGCTGCGCTGTATTGTGGCGAGCGAGGCGCAGCCGGAGTGAATCCATTACGCCGCGATCCGACAGCACAGGTTTCTGCGGATACCCTCTGATTTACATTTAAAACAGCGCTCAGCCATTGTCTGCCAGCCGGGAAAGAAAACACAGCCCCGTAACTTCCAATGACCTTCAAAGAAACGCAATTAACTGCTGCAATTATCGGTGCACGCCTTGTAGAAAAAAAAAAGACACAGGTGCTCGCCTCGCTGCTGTTTCACCTGGATAAGCAGCCCGTCTTCTTCTCTCCCCCCCACCCCCAAACGTACACCTCTGCAGCTCCCAAATACAGGATCCCCCCGGCTGAGAACAGCGCGGCTTCGTCACACGGCCGCACGCAGAGCTCCGCTGTTCTCGGCCGCCGCCGGCGGGATCTCTTCGCGGCTCCATAAAGCGCTGCCACCCCCCACCCCCTCCGCCGCCCCGATACGGAACTCAGGTTAATGGGGTGGGCTCAAAGCCGTGCTCCCCTTCACCCCGAACGCCAGTGATCTGCGCCCATCGACCCTCGGAGACAATACACCGAGCCCCCCCGGCCCCAGGAAGCACCACCACGGGGAGCGGCACCGGGGGTGGGGAGGGGGGCTGTCCGCTCTCGGTTCTCCCCTCTTTTGCGCACGCACACACCAAATAAATAAATAAGGAGGCGGCTGGAGCCATCTGGGGTTGGATGGCTTCTCATCTCATTACAGAGCATTAGGAGAAACAGGCAAATATACAGCTATTAAAATTAATCGCCTCGCGCTGTCAGCTGAACATAATGGAAATTATTTATAGGCTGCCTGCGATGCCGCGCTCGTCACGGAGGCGCGGTGCGGAGCGCTCGCGGCTCTCGGCAGCGAGAGGCGTGCGGGGCCCGGCCCGGGCCGGCCGAGCGCAGGCGGTGGGGCAGGGGCTACGGAGTGAGCCGCTCTCCGCGGGTACGGGTGTTTGGGCCGAGCAGAGAGGAAGCAGCGTGGGTTCCCGTAAGGCCGCGGGGTCGCCCCGGCGCAGCATCCCTGGGACCGGGAGGAGCCCTCCGGAGGGAGATCCCCCCCCGTGAGGGCTCTGGGGGCTGCGGGAAGGGGCGCGGAAGATCCGCCAACAGCTCGCCGCCCGTAGATGAGATGCTAATTGGCGGCCTTTCCGCCGCTGCCCCTGGAGCGGCCTTTCCGAGCTGTTGGCTTCTGCTCGGGGGGGAGACGGGGGTCTCTTCCGCTCGGGAAGAAAAAAAAGCAAAGCAAACCAATGGGCTTGCCGATGCCGAGCGGAGCCGGCCTGTTTTTCCTACCGAGAAACAGAGAGCGTTACGGAAGCAGGAAAGCGCTGCCCCTGCATTTCCCACTCTGCACGTCCTCCCTCCCCCCCTCCACAGCCGCGGAGCGCCCCACCGGGGCCGAGAGCCGCCGGGCGGGGGCAGAGCGCAGGCGGTGCGGGAGCCGAGAGCGCTGCTTCGGCGGTGCGGGAGGGCAATGGTTGAGTACAGCCGTCCCTGTGCTGCCCGCCCGAGGCTCCGGAGCCTCAGCGGGTAATTGACGGTCTCGAACCCAAATTGAAACGTGTTAACAACAACGCCGCGCATCCTAGGAGCTGCCCGGGAGACCGCCACCTCACGCTCTTTATATATGATTTGAATCCACCGGAGGGAAGTGGCACGGAGCTTGGGGAGCACGTTTCCCCTACCTGTAAATCAGCGCTTAGCACCGCGTTCGGGCAGCGGCAGCTCCGACGCATACAGCGGGAGGATCGCAGCCATTCCTCCTCCCACTGCCCTTGCAGCACTGTTTCCACACCGCCCCGAGCCCTCCCGTGGCCCCCCCGTGGGGCGGCGTCGGCCCACGCGTGTCCGCTGGAAACCCCCTCCCCCAGTGCTCCTTTAACCGACCCCCCCCTTAAGGGCATTTGCCGTCTCCGCAGCGCAGATCGGGTCTGGGCAAGGAAAGAGCCAACTCGTGCCGGAGCGGTTGGACGTGCCGAGGCAGCACAGCGCTGGCAGCGCTCCCCGGGAAAGGCTCCAGGGCCTCCCACCGCCAGCCGCAGCCCTTCCATCCGCAGCTGCCACCATCCCTTTCCCGCACCTCAGGAGCAGCTGGAGCCCCGCGGCGCGACCCTGCCCCGGAGGCAGCGGTGCCGCCGAACTCGTGCCGAAGTCACAGCGGGCGACCGGCAGATGGAAAATCCCCGCTCTTCCCGCACAGGAACACGTCGGGAACGGGCAGAGCGGTGCCTAAGCGCGGACGGAGATCGCCGTGGGATCCCTCCCTCGTGGCCCGCCCGCACCGACCCTGGAGCTCCTGCCCCCGCGTGGACTCGGCCTCATCTGAGGACGGAGCCGCCGAGGAGAAGCGATTTCTGAAAGGCGGTCCCGGGCCGGGCTCGGGAAAGGGCTGCGGGGTACGGCTCCTGCCCGGCACCGCGCCGCGGCTCTCGCCCACGCGTGAACTCGCTGAAAGTCACGCAGGCACGCCGCGTGTCCCGTGTCACACGCTGCCTGTCCCCCCGCCGGAGCCACGCACACACGCCGAGCCCCACGCGCACGCACCGCCCACCTCTTGGCAGCGCGCACCGAAGGGCTCTCACGCCGCAACCCGCACCGACACCGATCCGCACCCTCACACGGGGCCGCGTCGGGGCTGCACCTGCCGTAGGGCTCCCCGCCCTGGGACGCCCCGTCCCCTTCCTTTTGCACCCCGGCCCCGCACACCGTGGCGGGTGGTGCCGGCGGTGCCGCGCCGTGCGTCCGACAGCTGCGGCGTGCCGGAGGCGGCCGGGGAAAGGCCAGCGGCGCCCGGGGCTCGGGCAGAGGCCGCGGCTGATCTCTTGGCAGAGCCGCGAGCGGTTTGGCCGCCGCAGCCGGGAGGCCGGCCCGGATTATTCATCACGGGCAGGCGAACACAATCCTTCCCCCTCCCCCTCCGCCGGCCTTGAGTATTTCGTCCCGGCCGCGCAAACGATATTCAATTCGTGTCCTCTTCCGTGCCGGCACCGAGGAGCCTCCGGCTGCCAGAACGGCGCACGGCGGCGGCGTCCCGGTTCCGTGCGGCCGCAGAGGGACCGGCGGGGAGCGACCGCTCCGCAAACCGCACAGCCGCGGCCCCCGCGGGGCGGCCCGCTGCTCGTAGTGCGCCCGCGCCTACGGCAGGCAGCTGTGCGCCGCGGGGCTCGGAGGCCCCGGTAGCGAGCCG